AAACACCAAAAAATCCATTGTATTTCTAAATGCCAGCAATAAACAAGGAGAGCAAGAAATTTCAAAAATGCATCATTTACAATAGTGTAAAAATCAAATACCTAGAAATAGATACATCAAAATATGTGCAAGACCTTTACATGAAAGCTACAAAGCATCTTTGGGAGACAAAAGCGCTCTGTGAGTGGAGGGCTTTTCATCTCCATAGATTGCCAGCATTGTAAGGATGCCAATTTTCTCAGATTGATCTGTGGGTTGAACCCAATCCTAAGCAAAATTCCAGCATCCTGAAGCTTGGCAAGCTGATTCCAAAAGTGGAAATGCAAAATGCTAAAATAGCCGAGAGAATCTTGAATTAGAACAAAGTTGGCTTCCTTCTGCTCTAAGACACTTCCTTCAACGTCTAACCTAAGCACATCAGCTTTTTGTAGGCACGACTCATAAAGAGCACATGCTTGTATTTTGTTTTAAGGAACTTTCTGAAAGTTTTCTTTCTCACTCTGGGGTATTACATCATTTATATTTTTTTATTCTGGTTGCTACATTTCTGCTTACTTCTCTTATCTTGTTCTTTGGATTTATCTTCCACTTCTTTGTTGTTTCTTAATTTTAGTTTTTTAAATTTAATTTACTTTAACTTAATTTTTTGGCTGGTATGGAGGAGGTGCTTTATAATATTCTCTGGTCTTTGAAAGTTACATATCCTATTTTTTAGTTCTAGCAATGATTACATTGATTATTTTTAATACAAGCTTATGTGCTAGGCTTTTCTAATTCTCAGGATGAAGGTTTGAATGTCACTTTTTTTTTAAAGATTTTATTTATTTATTTGAGAAAAATAGAGCACAATCAGGGGAGGGGCAGAGAGAGAAGAAACAAACACCCCACTAAGCATGGAGCCCCAACAGCTCGGCTCTATCCCAGGACCCTGAGATCATGACCTGAGCCAAAGTCAGATGCTTAACCGACTGAACCACCCAGGCGCCCCTACATGTTACTTTTTGATTTATCATCTATTGTCGCATCTCACCCAAGCCTCCAAGTACACACACTCACATACACACACCCCACAGTGATTGCAGTACTATCTTCTATCCGCTTTTCCACATTTTAAATATAATCTGGCATCTTATATCCACTCATTTAATTTCACTGTTTTTTACATTCTAAATCCTCTTTTCTTATGAATACATGCATTATTTACATTCTAAGAGTCCTGTGCTCACTATCAGCCATGTGGTAACTTTTCTTTTCAGGCCCAGCTTTTGCCTTACATCTTAGCTGGGAGGAACACATCTTCACCTAATGCACTCCAGGGTTTTGAGCTAGGAAAACTTGAGTCTTCACTATTCTTTGACGAAGTGTATTATGGGTTGTTTTGGCCACTTCCATTGACTAAAAGTTCAAGTGGGATAAAGTAAAAATGACATGAAATAATAGGAAGAAAATGTCTGAAAGCATTAACATTTTTTAAAAGAGAAACATTTTGAAAGAAAAACAATTGGAGGAAACTTGTCCTCCCAGATATCAAACAATAATGTAAGAGTATAGTGTTCACACATATATAGTATATTGAATAGTATAATATATTCCAACAATATAGTATCTTGTGTCTAATAAATTAATAAGCAAAATAGCGAACACCAAAACAGACCCAGGCAGATGTAGAGTCTAGTGAATGAAAAGATGTGGTATTTCAAATGCCTGAGGAAAAGACGAAGCATTGGCTTTTCCTAGGGAAAAAAAAGATAAAAATGTGGCTTTGAAGCAGAGAGTTCTCAGATTTCAGAAACATCAACGCAGGCGGCTGTGTGTTTGGTCCCTGAGAAGCAGGTGCGTTTGAGTCACAGTTGACACTTATCTGAGCCTGTGGTGGTGTGGGCGCATGTGCAAGACTGTGCGTGTGTCTGTGGTGGCGGGAATATGTGTGTGAGGGAACGTGGGGTGTGTGTGCGGTGTGTGAGTATGTGTGTGTGAGCGAATGTGTGTGAGTGTGTGGTGTGTGAGTGAATGTGTGTGTGAGTGAATGTGTGTGAGCAAATGTGTGTGAGCGAATATGTGTGGGTGTGTGAGCTAATGTGTGTGAGTGTGTGGTGTGTGAGCGAGTATGTGTGGGTGTGTGAGCGAATGTGTGTGAGTGTGTGAGTGGATGTGTGTGGTGTGTGAGCAAATGTGTGTGTGTGAATGTGTGTGAGCGAATATGTGTGTGTGAGCGTGTGTGTGAGTGTGTGGTGCGTGAGCGAATATGTGTGTGAGCGAGTGTGAGTATGTGAATGTGTGTGAGCGAATATGTGTGGGTGTGAGCGAATGTGTGTGTGTGAATGTGTGTGAGCGAATATGTGTTTGTGAGTGAATGTGTGTAAGCGAATGTGTGAGTGAGTGTGTGTGAGTGAATGTGTGAGTGTGTGAATGTGTGTGAGCGAATGTGTGTGAATGTGTGTGGTGTGTGAGCGAATGTGTGTGTGAGCGAGTGTTTGTGAGTGAGTGAATGTGTGTGAGTGTGTGGTGTGAGTGTGTGAATGTGTGTGAGCGAGTGTGTGTGAATGTGTGTGAGCGTGAGTGTGTGAATGTGTGTGAGCGAGTGTGAGTGTGTGAGTGAATGTATTTGAATGAATGTGTGGGGTGTGTGTGTGGTGTGTAAGTGTGTGTGTGTGTGTATTGGGGGATGCAGTTGTCTGTGGAGCGTAGGAAACCGCCTTTTGAGAAGCATTTTATTTTTAGAAAGTGGGAACAGAAGTGGCGAAGGGAAATCAGATGCCGCAGGGGCCGATCTGCAAAGGCCTTTACATGCAGCGCCCCTCGTCACCTCTAACTCCATGATGGGAACGTCCCCATTTCACAGGTCAGAAAGTGAGGTTCAGGGTTTAAATATCCTTCCCAAGATTCCAGTCTTGGGCGGTCTGAGCCCAAAGCCTACTCCTTGCCCCCTGTGGCGTGGCCTCCACCTGGGCTGTGTGTTTCCCGCACCGGGGGCCCCGGCCACCCTGCCCCAGGCGCGGCCCTTGCTCGCTGTGCGCTGTTCAGCTGTGCTGAGTGTGTGGATGAATGCCACAGAGGATGGCACTTAAAAGGGAAGGTCACACTTTCATCCGTTCCCTGCACTTTAGTCGTTAGTCTGTGTGGTCTGTTCTCAAGTGTAGGCACATGTAATAGCAATTCTCTTGAATTTGGTTTTTCTGATCCCGTCCTACTGAATGCTTTGTAGAGTCTGTCATGCAGTTTTATTGGGTGGCCTTTCCCGGTCACAGACCCAGCCTCATTGCCCATGTGTCAGAGCACCTCGCTGGACACTTGAGACAGTTCTGCTTTCAGAATGGCTGTGTGGGAACAGCACGGAACAACTTCCAGCTTATAATTTGAGACTCCCAGGGGGGAAAAAAATGTCTAGTATCCTAGAAGAAATCTGGCCATCTGTTGGTATACAGTGTTGGTTGACCTTGGCCCTTCTCCTTATACACACCAGGGCTTGAGCAGGGCAGCTGGGGACAAGACAGCCCAGGAAGGAGGTTTGCATGTGGTCCTGGCCCTTTATACAAACATCTTAATGTCCATCGGGATTCTAACACATACTTCCTGTCAGGAACCCCTGAGCCCTCATAGCCGCCTTCCCCCCTCCATCAGGACACAGGCGTGATATACCCCCTGGGCTGCCCGCTCAGAGAGAACTGCCAGAAAGACAGAGTGAGGCCTTTGCAAATCGGAAATTTAATTTGGTGGAAATAGTTGGGCCAAGTAGTTGAATGCACTTGTCAGGCTGATCTGGCCTTGGGGGTGATGGAGGAAGGGGCATAGAAGCTGACCCTGAGGACAGAAAGGAATTCCTATCCAAACTACTTGACCAAGAAAACATTCCAGGTCTCCAGCTCTGACAACTAGCTACCAGGAAGGTAAAGACAACTTGCAGGTTAAAATTATACCAGAGTGTCTCTACATTTCTATCAAGCCCAAGCCCTTCCTGGGTCCTGCAGGTCTAGCCTGGGTCCCTCTCCAGCCCATCCAGCCCCTCTGACTCCACTCTACCCAACTGCAGCCACTTTGGCCTCCTGGCCATGCTTGGAGTGCCTGGCCAGGTCCTGCATCTGGAAGCTCCCCCTCCCCCACCATGGCTGACTCCCCACCTGTCCCACCTTCACAATATCACCTCCTTGGAGAGATGGTGGTGAATATCCCCCCATTTCCCCACCATCTAAAGAAGTGCTGTGGGATGAATGGTGTCCCTCTAGATTCCTACATTGAACCCTAATCCCAGAACCTCAGAATGTGACTATATTTGGAAGTAGGGCCTTGAAAGAGGGGATTCAGCTAAAATGAGGCCATTGGAGTGGCCCTAGTCCAACAGGACTGGTGTCCTTATAAGAGATTAGGACACACATGGCATGTCGCCACAGAGAAAAGACCATGGGTGGCCACAGTGCAAAGGGGCTCTGTGCAGACCACGGACAGAGGCCTCAGGAGAAACTGAACCTGCCCACATCTTGATCTTGGACTTCGAGTCTCCAGAACTGGGAGATATAAACAAGGAGGAGAACAAAAGCCGGAGAAATGTAACCAAAATGGAACCATCTTATGTGTGGCCCACTGATGCACATCTGAGACATACAGATGTGGCATTGCTAAAGGGTCTCATGACTAATGTTTTACTAGGTAATGAAGGGTAACCTATCTTGACAAGAGCTAACCGTCTCAGGCCCTACAAGCCTCACTTTCAACAGACACAAATTCCTTAGAGACTTCGCTATCCCTGACGCCCACTAACTACAAAGTACAGAATCAGCCACTCCTCTCAATCCCATTGCAGCTCTTCCTACCCACGCTCCAGCCCCTGTGCCTAAATAAAGGCACTTTTTGCACCGAAAATGTCTCCAGAATTCTTTCTTGACCATTCGCTCACTACCCCACATCATATTTTGGCTTCCAATGTTGGGCCTATCTTCTCATCTGGACCCCGAGCCACGGTTTAAACTTGGTCAGTGACTCCCTCTCCTTTACTCTCATTCCAGGGGCTCTTCAAGGAGTGCGGTCTTAGTGGAACACGTTCACGTGGATTGCTCAGGCTGCAGTCCTCTAGCCCGGGCTACTCTACAAGGAGGAACAAGAGCCTACCGTTTGGCTGGAAATTAGTGCCCTGGCCAGAATGGTAATGAGACCCAGAAACTTGATGCCCTCTCTTTATTTCCATCCTTATTACAAAGTTGTCCATCTAAGGGCAAGAGACAGTCACCTAAGTCACCAGGACGGCTGCCAATCTTAAGACTCCCGGATGAGGTTTCCTCCTCATTGGTCTAATGTGATCCCCTTCACATCCCTGGTCTAGCCTCTTCTGGCCATGGGACCTCCGCATGGAGCCAGCCAAAACCAATATCCGATTGAATTAAAACCCAAGCAGGAACCTGCTTCCAAGGGAAGCTGGCTGTGAAAGACCACATGTGTTGGAATATCGCTTAGATCATGATGGATTTCTATCTTTACTGCTTTCCGTCAATGTCCTCTACTAGCTGCTTACAGCATTGGGTAATTTCCCCTTGTAAAACCTTTCTAGTGTTTTCCTGGGTTAAAAACAGTGGGTTCTTCTCAGCACAGCACCTCATTTAGGTCCATTCACTGGCCCCCGTTTGTAGTGTAGGACATAATGGAGAAGTGGAGGGATCCTGGCACAGAAAGGCTGTGTTCATAGCAATTTCGTTGGAGGATGTCTCCAGTTGCTTTGACACTGGGAACCTCTGACGTATCCTGCATGGGACTCCCCCCAGAAGCCGGGAGGGGGGATTTCCTTGGTAATGGACCTTCTCTACTTTTCTAGGAACATGGGTTCTTCTTCAGTCCCCAAGGATTCTCTCTTGGGATGCTTTTTAACCCACCAGAATCAATTCAGATGGCAAGATTTAAGAAAGAAAAGCCTGATCTTCTGTAACACTGCATCACCTTGGTACCCCCTAGGAGATGAGGAAAAATGGCCCATTAATGGGACATTAAACTTGAATATGATCTATCAGTTAGATCTCTTCTGTAGGAAACAGGGCAAGTGGATAGAGGTATCTTCATGGCCCTAAATCAGGATCCCAACCTAAGGGCCTCTTGCAGAATGTGTTTGGCCACTAACCAGGCTAATAAACCCCCTCCTGATATATTGGATGATGATTATCTAAATAGGGCCATTCCTCCTAATAAACCTAGGCTAACAGAGGAATCGCAAGCCTCTCCGCATAAAGAGGATATTGCTGCTGTCACTAGCCCTCCTCCTTACAAGCCTCAAGACCCCTCTGCTCCCAGCCCAGCTGGACATACCAGGAGCGGAACTCCCTGTCTCCCGGGAGCTCCCCCTAAATATCCCCTTAGGGAGGTTGCTAATGGAGAAATAGGCACTATCAGAGTCCATGTCCCGTTCTCCATAAAACAACTCTTAGGTCAATATTCTGAGAACCTTTCTCAATTTATTGAGAGTTTTCAACAAGTAGCCATTGTGTTTGATTTGACCTGACAAGATAATATATACACACACATATATATGTGTATATATATATATACACACACACACATATATATGTATATATGGATGATATTATATATATCATGCTATCTTTGTTGCACCCTGGAGGAATGGAACCATATCTGGACAGGGGCTCCAGAGTTTGCTGTCCAACTGGCCACGAGAGATAGAGAACGTTATCTGGTAGGGGGCACTGCTGTCCCAATGACTGAGCCACACTGAAACTATCAGGAAAATGGAGCAAGAGAGAGACGGGATCCTATGATCACTTGCCTGATAGAAGGAATGAAAAAAGGATCTTTCAAACCTGTAAATTTGAACAAAATTCAGAAAGTCCCTCAAATTGCTGATGACAACCCGGCTCTGTTTCAGGGTGGCTTAATAGAAGCTATTTGTAAATACACAAACCTGGACCTAAGACACAGGAGGGAATAACTATTTTAAACATGCACTTTATAAATCAGTCGGCATCTGACATCTGCTGAAATTTAGTTTTTCTGGTCCTTCCGTCTTGTTCCACTCCATTCCTTGGATGAGACTTAATATATAAACTAGGGAGTAGGTTTGCTCTTACTAAAGAAGAGTATAGGTTGTCCTCTTTAGCACCTGGAGAACCAGACCCTTACCCTGATATCCCTTTTAATATCTGGAAGGTAGTAAACCCACAGGTCTGGGATTGCGATGTCCCAGGATTGACTCTTAAAGCCCAACCAGTTAAAGTGACCTTAAAACACTCAATCACAAAACCTCGTAAGAGACATTATCCCTTAAAACCAGAGGCAAAATAAAAGCTGGGTTACAACCACTTATAGACAAGTCTCTCAAACATGGTATTTTAGGGCCTTGTCAATTTCCTTATAACACTTCAATTTTACCAGTAAAGAGGCCAAATGGGAAATATCAAAAGGCATAAGATTTAAGAGCTATAAATGAGGCAGTGGTCCCTATTCATCCCAAGGTACCAAATCCATATAGTTTTCTCACCCAGGTTCCTGGGGATGACAAGTGGTTTAGAGTACGTGATTTATTTTTTTTATTTAAATCCAATTAGCCAACATACATCATTAGCTTTTGATGTAGTGTTCAGTGATTCATTAGTTGAGTATAACACTACTTGATTTAAAAGACGCCTTCCTTTGCATCCCTCTGAGTGAGGAAACACAGCCACTGTTTGCTTTTAAATGGGCCTCACCTTCAAGCCCACAGGCTGCCAAATAACTTGGACAGTCTTGCCATAGGGTTTTAGAGACCATCCTCACTTATTTGGGGCTGACCTTAGTAAAGACCTCCATGAGGGATTCTTGCCTCAAGGGACTATAATTCAATATGTGGATGATATTTTAATGCGTAGTCCCACAGAGGAAATGTCTGATAGCAATTCTGTAACCTCACTTAATTTCTCGGCAGACAGAGGTTATCACATCTCCCCTAAAAAGGCACAAATATCTAAACAGAAAGTATAATATTTGGGGTACGAACTAACATCCGGTCATGGAACTCTATCTACTGTTAGAAAAAAGATTTTATTCGATCTTGAGCCCCCAACTGCAAAAAACTCCACACTTTCCTAGGCATGGCAGGCTTTTGCCGCCTGTGGATTCTTGGACTTGGGCTCTTAGCCAAGCGATTGTATGATTCAATTAAAGGCAAGAGCCTTTACTCTGGACTAAAGCCCAGCAGACACCTTCAAAGCATTAGAAGCTAAGCCTTTATCAGCCCCAGCTTTGGCTCAACCTAACTTAGAAAAAACTCTTTTGCTTTACGTATGGCAAAAAAACAGGGTCAAGTTTTGGGAGTTCTGACCCAAAAATGAGGAAATGAAATGAGACTGCTGGGCTATTTTTCAAAGTCACTTGACAATGTAGCACAAGGGTGGCCGGCTTGTCTTCGAGTGGTGGCTGGGATTGCCCTCCTGGGAAAGTCTCCTGTGATGACATAACATCAGGTCCACGTGTTTTAGAAACTAAAGGCCACCGATGGATGATGGGGGTGCCGACTTACTAAGTACCAGGCCAGGCTTTTAGACATACCTGAAGAGGTCCTTGAGACCTGCCAGACTTCAAACCCAGCTGCCCTTATGCCCGGACGTGACCATCGTACTCCTATAGAACATAATTGTTCAGAAGTTATTGATCTTGCTTATTCTAGCAGATCAGACTCAGAAGATTCTCCTATTGGTAATGCAGATGGTGAAGGGTGCGCTATGGCCCATCTAACGCAGACTATCGAGGTCAGAGCCCTCCCAGCAAATACATCTGCCCAGAAAGCGGAGCTAATAGTGCTCCTTTGTGCTTTACAATTGGCAACAGGTCTCAGGATAAATATCTATACTGACTCTAAATATGCTTTCCTAGTCCTACACGCACGGGGCAATTTGGAAAGAGAGAGGGTTATTAACAAGTCATAACTCTCCCATTAAATATGGACCTGAAATAACAGCCCTTTTAGAGGTTGCACACAAGCCTAAGATGGAGGCTGTAATTCACCGCAGGGGACGTCAGAAGGACACGTCTAGGGACACTAATGAGAATGACCTGGCGGAGCGTGCTGCCAAGCAAGCTGCGCAGAGCCTGCAGGTCCTGTACGTGTTGACACCAGTAACAAACAGAGCCCCGGTCTACTCGGACCAAGACATCCAGGTAGCCCCAGAATGGGGGTTTTCCAAAAATGCACAAGACTGGTTTATAAATGATAGAGGAAAAGTCTTTATACCCAAAGGCAACCAATGAAACTAACGCAGGGTATACATCAGGCTACTCATTTGGGTAAAAAGGCCCTGGAACAGATGATTATGAACACTTTTGATGGGATTAACTTAACCATTACCAATCTTGTGCTGTTTGCACCCAAGTAAATGCAGAGGGCACAATTATCGCCCCCTTTAAAACCAGTCCAAAGTGGGGGGACATATCCTGGGGAGGACTGGCAACTCCATAAGATGGATTTTACAAATGTCATCTTATAAAGGATATAAATACTTACTGGTCTATGTAGACACCTTTCCTGGATGGATAAAAGCCTTCCCTTGTGAAACAGAAAAGGTCACTGAAGTGACAAAAAGTTTATTAAGGGAAATTACCCCTAGAACTGGATTCCCTCGGTCCACACAAAGTGACATTGGACCATCTTTTATTGTACAAATAACTGAGCAAATAGCTCTGGACTTAAAAATTAACTACTATTTGCATTCGGCCTGGCATCCACAATGTTCCAGAAAGGTGGAAAAGGCCAACCACACCTTAAAACGACATCTTGCCAAAAGTAAGCATTGCCACTCAAGAAAACTGGGTTACTCATTTAGCAGTAGGACTTCTCAGAATGAGAATTGCCCCAGAGCAACGAATAGGGGTAAGCCCCTTTGAATTACTATCTGGATGCTTGTTCTCACTGTAGACCTGTCAAGAGATGGAGACTATAATGCTTTGTTGAATTATTCACTTGAGGCTGGGTTAATCCATAAATCTCTACACCAATATGCAGACCATATCCTCCCTAAACCTGATCTGACATTTACTAATAACCCACCTCATATAGACCCAGGAGATGTGGTTTATGTAAAGGATTGCAAGTCTAATACAGCCGGGGATTGACTCCAAAACGGAAGGGCCCTTACAGGTCATATCATGTATCACCGCCACAATTAGAAGGCCATTCCTCGTGGATTCATATATTAAGAATTCAAACTGTATCTTCCTCACAGGACCCCAGGGTGCCAGCTTACATGCTTTCTTACTTCCGTGATCATGTAGAAAACCTCAGGCTTCCTTCAAATGACAGCGAACATTGTACCTCTCTTTCTCATTCTCTTTTTTCCAATTTATACTGATAATTCCTTCTTAACATGGGCACAGCATTATGCTGAACTTCAAAATCAAACAGCGTGCTGGATACATGGGATTCTGCCTGTATTCGGCACATCTGGTCTGCCTTGGTGGATCTCCCTATCATGGGGCATTCCTCATGTATTTATGTCTCAGATATGACCTGGGACCCAAGTACTACTATATTACATGATAGCTCTATCGCAGAGCAAATATGGCCTCTGGCCTATGATCAGTGCCACCTGGAATCATCCAGGCCATAATCAGATCCCAAACCAGTAAAGTTCTAACTGAATCTACTCGTCCACAAATAAATACACACCAGAGAATGCCTAAACGATAAACCCCACCTTATCGGTATACACAGGATGGAATATATCAGATCTGGGACGGATATGTATGGCTCACCCCCACAATAGGATGGCTGAGTCAGAAAACAATTCTATGCTGGGAACAGAGAAACCATACTTATGATACATGGGCAACGTCACAGGGCAGTTAAGATGCCTGTCATCAGCAACAGGTTCACAAATCATTGTTCTTCAGGCCACCGAGTAGTCTGCTACTGATTAGACAGGGAGGCCCAGAACTAGGCAGCCGGCTCCTAATGGGACCCAGTGGCTACTCGGCTCTAACCTACGGCCATGGCTTCCCCCAGGCTGGCTAGGTCACTGTACTCTGGGTTTTGCCTGGATGCACCAACGCGCTATGAAAACATTACTAACGTGGCCAACCTTCCAAATTCAAAACAACCGTGGACATGTCCCATGTTTCATTGGTATGACCACCTAAGGTCCACCTTTGTTCCCTCTTTAGGACTGGAGGATGTCGCTTGGCACATGGAAGCCCTTAATAAGTACACGGTCAAAACCCTAAATGACTCCCCAAATAGCATTGCCCTGTTAGATACTGAAGTGACACAGACGCATAAAGCCGTCCTACAAAATAGAATGGCATTCGATGTTTTGACAGTGGCAAAGGGGGTACCTGGGCCATTATCAAAATGGAACGTTGTGTATATATTCCAGATTGTCACAAAAATGTAACAGGGTTGCTAAAAGATATGAATACTCAAATTGGCGTTTCAAAGGATCCCTCCCACTCCTTTCATAATTACACTCCTGGACTGGAGGGGGATTCTGGTCATCAAAGGACTCTTATTGGGACTTCTTTTGCATGATAATTGTAATCATGTTTTGCTGTTTTTTCGGACATCTCTCCACCTGGTGCCTAGGCTCCTTCATTGCCATAACTTCAAGTGGATGGATGATCCTTTCTACTCAAGGAGATTCATATATGCTGTCTACCTTGGATTCAGCTGCCTCTTTCTTTCAAAATTCCTACATATAAATTCCCAACTGACCAACACTGACCCATAAGAAAGGATGTCTCTACCCTCCTCATTCAGCAAGAAGAGGTTAGAGAAGATGAAACCTTGCACCCTCAGCAACCCTAAAGGTTTAAGGGTCAAAATTGTTCAGGGGGAAATGAGAACAAAGGCAAGAGAAATGTAACCAAAAAAAGAAAAAGAAAAAATAATGTTACATGTGGGTCACTGATGCACATCTAAGACATACAGATGTGGCATTGCTAAAGGGTCTCATGGCTAAAGTTTTACTACGAAGGGTAACCTATCTTGACAAGAGTTAGCCCTCTCAGGTCCTACAAGCCTCACTTTCAACAGACACAAATTCCTTAGAGACTTCGCTATCCCTGACGCCTACTAACTACAAAGTACAGAATCAGCCACTCCTCTCAATCCCATTGCAGCTCTTCCTACCCACGCTCCAGCCCCCAGGCTAGAATAAAGGCACTTTTTTTGCACCAAAACTGTCTCAAGCAGTCTTTCTTGACCGTTTGCTCACCAGCCCCGCATCCATAAGTGCCCGTGAGTCCCGCCTGGGGCACACTGTTCCTGGGGCCAAGCTCACAGGCAGTCACCCTTGCTCTTCCTGCCCCTGAGCCCCTGACTTTCATTAACGTATAAATTAGACTTCTACGCACACATTTGGTTCTGTGCTCACTTTCCCCTCCAAAAACTCCACTGAATAGGGGCCACTGCTGCGAAGAAGTCCCTCAATAAATCCCTGTTGCGTATTAACGAGTCATTAATTCTCCAGCAAGCAGAAAGGCTCAAACCGTAAAGGGACACTCAGATGTCCCCGTGGGTTTGTTAGTTCTCTGGTTCCTGAACTGTCCAGATTGATTTTTCAAAGGCACTCAGATCATTTAGGTGCCCCCAAACCGGCGTTATGCCTATAATGGATCGTCAACCTTTTTGGAAACGTTCAAGGCCATTGTTGCTTGTTTGGTTTTCGGTCACTTTCCCCCACTTTGCTCTGGTTTAAGCTGCCTTATACACTGCATATAAATGAGCTTAAGCTGTTTTGAAGAGATTTGTATGAAATTCCCGGGGATAACTTCTGATAAGCCCAATTCAGACATATAGGAATGGGAGAAGAGTACGCAGTGGGAATACGGAATTTGTGACACTCGGCTTGGACCATTTATATAATTCATATCATAGAGAAAGTTTTAAGTCTCTCTCAAGACATTGCCCTTTCATTTTGATCCTAACAAACGGGCTCAGGTTGTTTGGGTTTCAATCTTTACAAAATTGCTACAGGATTTTCAAGATCGCTCAGGGTCACCTCTTCCAAGAATCCTTCCCTGACTTTCTCAAGATGTAGAAACGTCCCTCCTACCTCCCCCCAACCTCGAGGTCCCATGACAGCCCCACGGTGAACCTATCCCCTCCACAGTCAGCCTGGCAGCCTCCCCCTTCTGACTGGGTTGTGGCTTCCTGGTCCTGCAGGACCAGCGGGCCCTCGATCACTATGGAGTTTGGAACAATTCCCCTGTGAAAGGCAGGGCAACACTGGCAGGGGTTTTGAGGGCAAGAGCCTGCCATCCTGGCTCCCCTGGGATCTGACCCCAAGCACATGGCAGTAGGTGGGAGCCCAGGAAAGCCTGTATGCTTGACGGCAGCCTGGGGGCTCTGGGGTGAACACAGCAGAGCAGGCCTGCGCCTTCTACACTTTCCTCTGCGTGAGGAACTGTGCCTGCCTCCCCAGGCAGCCTCCAACAGCCCGAGGCCTTAACCTGCCCCAGAGTGTTATCAGCTCTTCTAGTGGATCCCTCTTGAGTAAAACTTAGTAATTTTTTTTTTCTTTTGCATGCGTGGTGATATTTTCAAGGGTGGAATTTCCTGAAAAGAGTTGACCACTTGCCTGTAAAGGGTACAGGGATGGTTGCCTTTATGGGTTAACCTGGCTAAGCCATGGTGCCCAGAGGTTTGGGCAAACACTAATGCTGGTGTTCCTGTGAAAATATTTTGTATATATCACGAATGTTTATCGTCAATTGACTTTAAGTCAAAGAGAGGACGCTTGATAATGTGGGTGGGCCTCATCTAATCAGATGAAGGCTTTCAGAGCAAACACTAATGTTTCCCAGAGAACAAGGAATTCTGCCTCAAGGTGGCAGGATCAACTCCTGCCTAAGTCTCCAGCCTTCTAGCTGATTGTGTCAGGGGGTCTGCCCTACAGATTGTAGACTTGCCAGCCTCACAACCATGTGTGCTAATTACTTAAAATATATCTTTTTATATCTACCATTGATCCATCCATCCATCTATGCATCCTATTGGTCCTATTTCTCTGGAAAACTCTGACCGACAAGGTACATATTTAAAACGTGATGCTGGTATCAAAACAAGCTGTACCTGTATAAGGACAGGTGTTGTTGTGTTAATGCAGGCAAGTTGACCCGAGCTCCTGTTCACTGAAGAAGGCGGAATGAATGCAGGACGCAGACCTTGAGCCGGGCCAAGAGCAAGCCTTGCCGGGGGGCCCCATCTTGGGGGCTTGAACACGGTCTCATTTAATCAGAGCAACACCTCTGCAAGGGAACAATTGTTCCCACCTTGCAGGTAAGGAAACTGAGGCTTGGAGCAGTAAGGGACAGGAGGAGTCACACAGCCGGTGAGGAGTGGTTGGGAGTCCGTCCAGAGCTCTAGCTCTTTCTGCAGCATAACACAGACCCCCAGGGGAGGGCAGGGGAATGAGCCGGGGTTATAACCGGGCCTGGAGCACAGATGCTCTAACTAGTGGCCGCCCCTCCCCAGGAGAGGGGTCTGTGGCCCACCGCATGGCCTGCAGCAGAACCCAGGGCCAGATCCAGGACGGGGAGTGGCCTGTGGCCCTTTGGTGCGTGGCCCCACACACGGAGGGGGAGGAAGAGTGAACCCACACGCAGACGTGCACACAAGCACACACAACTCCAGGGCCAAGCACGCCCAGTTCCACTGGTTGGTCCTCTCCTTTCACTATTTTAAAACAAATTAGCTATAATATCTCATCAGGTTAACAATGTTCCCCCACCACTTATCACCTTCATTGGAAATTCCAGTTTCTAGATCCAACACAGTAAATTCAACAAGGGATATAAATATTTAAAAGAAATTCAAAAGCAATTTCTTTTGGAAAGCACAGAATTACCTATTCCTTGAGAACAATCACTGTTTAATTTACTGTGAGCATCCTGCATACTAATTTACCTTATAATAAAATATATCTTCCGTGTCTTTTAAAGTCCTTTTAGAAATGAAAAGTAAATTGAAGTTTTCCTTTTAAGTGCAGGTATGAAATAATTCATAGCAAATAAATGCCTCAGGCAGATTATTAAATCCCAAAGGGGTTTTCAATATTCTCTGAGCGGTTATGGAGGGTCTGTGATGGCCAGTGAGTCATCTTATTCATCATTAGTTTCACAGTCTGTCTACCACAGATTGGGGGTCAAAAACTTTGGCCCTTGTCAGTTCTAGCCCTCTCTCTTTATAAATAAAGTTTTATTGGGACACGTCCATGTCTATTTGGTCCATACTGTTTGTGGCTGCTTTTGTGCTATCACGTCAGAGTTGGGTCATCGTGACTGAGACCCTATGGCCCACAAAGCGGGAAATATCTACTCTCCTGCTAGAAAAAGCTTGCCAAACCCTGCCGTGGGTGGTCAGATGGAGTTTTCCTCTTTTCCCTCCATTTCATCTTCTTTCATCATAATTACTCCAAACCTCTCTTTATATTTAATTTTCAGGGAAAGCTCTCACTATTATCATGAATTACTCATCCTAAGATAGTCTTAATATTATGCATAGTATTTTAATATTTAATTATCACGTCTAAAAGGCAGTGTTCTCAGTTACATAAATATTGCTGAGGTTTGAAGAAAAAGAAGAGAAGAAAGTTTATTTAAGGCTCAGTTCTGGTGGGTTTCTAGGTTTGAAATACAGAGGCACACTGTTCAAGACTGAGCTCATGCAGACCTCCAAGCATAGTGCATACACCAGATAGTGTATAAAACACAGGACAAACAGGAGGGCAAAAACCTAGAACCCTGCTTCTTTCTGGTGACTTCTTGATTGTGCTTAAACAAGAAACATTGTAGTTAAAATGGACTGGTTGTTTGGTCAGTGATATTCTTACATTCACTGAATAGGCAACATATTTGCAGGAATCTGCATTTTACTCCTGGGGGACTTAAACTGTTTTTCACTCTCAATAGAAACATGTATTGCATGAACCTTTGTACTTTTTCTGAATTACTCTTCCTGGGCGGGGGCGTGGTGAGGTTGTTTTTCACTGCTTTCTATTCATTGAAGACGTTGATTTGTTCTTTTCAAAAAGTGGAAACAAAATAACAAAAAACTTCATTATTTACTTTTATGCTTAAAAGTGTTTGTCTTTAGTGATCATTGACAAATGAAACACCATCTGACCTTCAAAACCAAATCCTTACTTTCACAGGTCCTGTGCTGAGCGGTAGGAACCCACCCGGAGTGTTGGTGAAGGTAGCTGCAGAGCTGAGCCAGGGCGGCCAGCGTGGTAGCCCTGCTCTGAGCCAACTGGAAACCAACTCCAGTTGGCTCTTCCGTGTTGCGCAAGACCATCCATAAAGCACACATGAGGGCTTTTCTCCCCCAGTCAACGAGACACGAAGAACTCCCTACAAGGAAAAACACCTGCTGTCCTGGCTCCTCAGCACCTGTCACCCATCTCCTGTCTGCCAGCAGTTTTCCCCTGGGACGTTCTACACACCACATGGAGCCCCTGGGATTGTCATAAGATGGAAGCTTCCGAGATTTGTGGTCCCTGACTTTAGTGACACCTTGTGCCCTCCCAGCCCTGTCTGTGGACACCGCTGGGGTAATGGGTGTGCTGGAGCTGGCGTGGAGGGTAGATGTCTGTCGCCCCACTCTTGCTACCTGTCTGTGCTGCCCTCCTGACCCCCCTACCATCTCACACGCAGGGAATTTTCACATATGTGGACATACACATACAGAGTCGATCCTCCTTACTCAGGGACTCCATATTCCTGATTCACCTGCTTGCTAAAATTTATATCTCTCTCCGCCCCCCCTCCCCCAATCAGCACTTGTAACACTGCCATGGTCAATCAAGGGCACGTGTAGAGTGAGGGAAAGAATGTCACCCAATGTGCTCATTTCCAGCTGAGAGAGAACAAAGCCAGACTCTGCCTTCTTGTTTCAACACCCCCTACGCAAACAAGTGTCCTTTATGCAAGTCTACATAGTACCATGTTTTCCTCACTTGGGGGCCTTTTGTCGATTTCCCGATTTCAAGTGGCTCAAACAGTGCCCACGTGCTGTCTAGTGATCCTGAGGGCAAGAAGGCTATGATGTCCCCTACAGAGAAGGTGCGGGTTCAGGCATACGCTGTAGTGCTATTGACAGTGAATCCAATGTTAACTGATCAATTATATACATTAAATAAGGTGTCTTCAATAATTCATTAACAATAAAACAGAATTATATATCGATTGGTTGATGAAAATGTTATGACGAGAGACTCAGAGGAAACTAACCCTGCATCTTCTTTAGGAGCCATGGTTCAGGATTCGCTAATTTGGTGCGTGGTGCAGCTTTGTAGACATAATGTGAATAGTGAGTTCGGGCTGCATCTGACGTCACAGAAATCCGACATGTATCGTGTCCTCGATATAGTCGGGCGTGGTGGCCCTGTTCCAGTGATCATGAAGGACATTGCACAGCATCCTCTGCTCACCTGAATTCCCAACCTCAATCTCTGGAGCCCAAAATGAAGAGACTTACACATTTCTCCTTTCATCTCTGATTTTTTGTTTGTCCCGATTTGTTGGGAAGTGCAGGAACATGGCAGGTCTCTAACACTTGTTTTGTTCAATTTTGTTTTTATAATTTACAAGTGTCCCAAGGCTGACGTTAAGCCCAAGGACATGCACTGTTTGGGCTGTGCAGTGTTTATGAGACTTCTAAATTGGTTACATTTGGAAATCCAAAGATTTCACATAAAATGCTGAGAGGACCGTGCATGTACCTCTCCCTCCCACCTCCTTGTTACCGATCTCCCAGTCCAGCACCTTGTAAGTCGCTGAGCAACCGCAAAAATCAGTAGCTACCCCCCATCACTGAGTGTAGATCTGTCCTCGTCATTCTCAGTCCCGACAGAGTGGAAGAGCTAATGAACTGCTTGGCCCTCTGGCTTTGGGGGAGTTCTCCCTCCAGTATGGTCTTCCTGGAACTTTCCTGATGGGGTTGATATGCTGCAGTAAACCACCCCCAGTTGGCTCTTCTGTGTTGTGCAAGACCATCCATAAAGCACACAAGGGTTTTCTCCCCCAGTCAACGAGACACGAAGAACTCCCCACAAGGAAAAAGAGGCAACATAGCCAGCACACGTGTCAGCCTCTGAACCATGTGCTTGTGCAACTCGCTTGTGCGTTCTGTACCTGCTGGGGGCCAGAGATACAGAAGCAACCCCACCTGATGATGAAGCAGATACACTCATCCCAACTTGCTGGGTCAGGTAGCACCATGTCCATAATGGAAAGTTTGGGTTCTAGGCATTAGAATACTGAATCTTGAGCGTCTCTCAACTGGAAATAGCCTCTTTTTTTTTTTTTTTGGCTGGAGATAACCTCTTTTCCCTACTTGTTTCGCTGTTCTCCACCTCCAGGCATACCCATGCCTCAGCTCCAAGGATGAATCTTGGCTGAACAGAAAAAGATGGATGAAGCCACAGCTCAATCTCTGAGACTGAGTATCAAGTCACCCTTGACATCCATTTGAGTCAGGACCCATCCACGTTCATGTGCATCTGGTATCCGAGTCTGAGCCGTTGACAGAATGTCTGTGTGGATGGCTGGGGGTTCCATTTGCCTCCTCTGCCTGCCTTACTTATCTTACCAGCTGTCCCACCCCCACCACCTCTTGCCAGAGGCCCTTTTGACAGAACTCCTGAATTCCTGCTTAGCTGTTCAATCTGATGCCATGTCCTGCAATGTATTTTTTAATTCTTTGTCATAGGTTTAGATGATCATAGAAAAGTTGCAAAATTGTGAAGAGTTCCCATATGCCCTTCATGCAATTGTCAAACCAGGAAATCAACACTAAACTATAGATCTTGTGAAATTATACCAGTTTTTCCTCAAACGTCCTTTTACAGTCCAGGATCCCATATTGTGTTTAATTTGTTGTGTCCTTCGTCTCCTCCAGCTTATGACAGATCCTCAGTCTTGTCTTTCATGACCTCCAACCCAGGCCCCCTCCGGTGAACACGCTTCAGCCTCTGTCCTCACTATAGCTGAATACCCTGTTTCCTTCCCCTTATCTACCATGTGAACTCCTAATCAGTACTCCAGATAATATTATTTAGGCACGTAATGCTAAGCCTCAGTGCCTCAACATAATAGCAATTTACTCTCACTTACTCGAGTCCTGTGTGGATGTTCCCGGATGGGTGGCTCTCCTGAGCTCTCCTCCACGTGGTAGGGACATCTTAGGACACTGCTGTCCCCACCTCGTGGCCTCTAAGATCAGCACAGAAAAGAAGAAAGAGGAGAAGTATGTGTGGAAGCTTCCGTTGTTTCTTTAAATAGCACAAGCCACACAGGCTCGCATCATTGCTGCCCATGTTACATTGGTCAGAGCGAATCCAGATGCAGGAGAGAGGGAAATGCCGTTTCCTGTATCCCAGGAGGGAAATGAGGCAGGGTATTCAAGTTAGACGATTGTCTCCGCTGCTGGCCACCCTTTTGGTCATCAAACAGCTTTCTTTTTCTTCCCACATGCTACAGCTTGCTCACACTCTTCCCGAGAGAGAACGTGCACACCCGTTCAGTAACAGTAGCCAACTCCAGGCCCAGGATCTCTGAATGGATCTGGCCTCTCCATGAAGAACAGGGGCAGCGCTTTTGGTCTGGTCTCCTGTGACCTGAGGGATACTTGATTTGTCATTGGTTTCCCTGATATCCAATCAATAGTGGTGGATCAGGGCCGGGGAACTGCATGGACCCCTCCCTCTTGGAAAAAGGAAGTAGGGAAGTCTCATACCCATCACTAGCCCATAGATGTACTTTAGTCCTGCAGGACGGGTGTGGTGATTTTCTCTGCTCTGGATGCTGAGACCCCACAGTGACAGACCTCACCTTCTGGGGGCTCCTCCTTGCTCCTTATTTTGCAAGGCCACGTAAGAATGGGCTTCGGGGAGTGCATTCTCCTGTTGGCAACACAACTTTGGGAGCTCACTTCCTGTTTAGCAAAGACTGGGGCCTCAAAGTTTATTAAGTCCCAAACAACTGAAGGATTTTTTGGGTCCCGACTCATGGTATTCTTGGCAGTGCAGTCGTCTCAAAAACATAGTGACTTCTGATCTATTTGTACCAGTAACCATACCCCTTTCTTGGATGTCATTCTGGAACCTACTTCATTTCCCTGCCTCCTCACTGCTGTGAATCTGTCTCTCAACTTAACAGCAGCTGTCTGAGGCCACCGGGGTGAGTGGGAGGTCCGTGCGCTTACTCACACGTTGGCCCTGGGTCACTTTATGGACTTAGAAAGTTCACCAGCACTTAACGAGTTCAAATTATTTTTTATTCCCATACTTACTGGTTGGGGACTAGAAGGTTACCTTTTGCAACCCTACAAGGCCCTGAATTTCTGGACCCTATTACCTTTCATTTTCTGCTCAAAACAGCCAATTACTTCCTGAGCTCATCTCTTTCTTATATTGCCTTTCCAAACAGATCCACTTCCAATTAAAACACCTTTCTAATATTCCATTTTCCAAGGACTCCTCCTATGAGCCTGCAGTGATGGGGTCTGCCTTCCAAGTCCCCGCAGACAGCCATCTTGCCATGTTTTGTCAATACATAGCATCGATGTTCGGCCACCAGCGAGCCATGTGTCTTCCTCGCCTCCTGCCCAACTGCTAAGAAAATGGCCACATAGTTGTTATAGTAGCAACTTCCTGCAAGATACCACTTTCCATAGCATTCAATAAATCATGCTAGTTGTTGCAAACAACCCCCAATTCCAGTGGCTCCACAAAATAAATTCATTTCCCACCTTCCCCATACCCACTGAGGATTTTCCAGGTAGGGCACCCACCTTCAGACAATGACTCAGTGATCCAGAGCCTTCCGTCTTGGGATGCTGCTGTTTCCAGTATGGGGCTCCAACTTCCCACAGGAGAAGAGAGGAAAGGATCAGGTGTCCAAGATATTTTATGGGCCAGCCTGGATGTGTCATACATCACATCTGCCGGCGTTCCGTCAGTTGGAATTAGTTTTATGGCCTCAGGTACAAAGGGATGGTTAAGGTCATCCACCTGGGTGTCCAGGAAGATAATTAAATGGTTGAAAATAATTAGAATTATTTCTGGCACAAAGACTGGTCCGAAATGTCACCTGATATCTCTGCAGAATCAGGCATTTCCCTTCCACTGACACTGTGTCTTGTACATAATTTGCACCTGCCACTTTGATTAAAAATTATTTTATTGTCTGTAGACCCGCCAGGTAAGGAGTGCCTTGAGGTTAAGAACTGTCCCGTAGTGCTCGCTTCGGCAGCGCATGTACTAAAACAGGAATGACACAGAGAAGATGAGCGAGGCCCCATGCAAGGATGACATGCAAATTCATGAAGCGTTCCGTGTTAAAAAGAAAGAAAGAAAGAAAGAAAGAAAGAAAGAAAGAAAGAAAGAAAGAAAGAAAGAAAGAAAGAAAGAAAGGAAGGAAGGAAGGAAGGAAAGAAATGTCCTGTATACATCTCCGTAGCACCTGAGCCTGGCACACGAAGGTGTTGAGTGCTTGTCAAGAGAACGAGGTGACCAGAGGGAGGCCAGGCTAGGAGAAAATGTTGAGAGGCTGTTCCTCCTTGTAGAGCAGGATGGGGTTTCTCTAGTAGAAAGGGAAAAATTGGAGGCTATCATAAGACATATTTTCTAATAAAAATGAATGTAATGGGAAAAATTGGAGGCTATTATAAGACATATTTTCTAATAAAAATGAATGTAATATCATGTTCTTTTTTATTTATTTAAGTGGGCAACTTGTTTCCCCTTCTCTTTCTTGGCATTCACTTGGTAATTTTGCATTTCCCAACGGATTAGTCTCAACACAATGAAAGCTCCCAGTAGAGGCTATTATTTATATTTCTTTGAATAGTATCTCTTGTCCTGAACTAAATTGTTACTTATAATATGGAAAAAAAAAAAAAAAAAGCCCATAAGATAGCTACTGGACGTTCTCAGGATTCAAGTTGCCACTCAGTATTGGAGGGGAGTCTGTCCCCTGGAGATTTAGGACTGTGCCCCAAGACTTCTCTATTTAAGGAGCTCAAGGTAGAAAACCTTCCTAGTCAGGCAGAACGGAGTCCAATTAACTGATTGAAATACACAGAAATACAGAAGAATAGCCCATTTGTTTGCTTTAATCTAAGAAACAAAGGGCCCCTGATGAGGCTGCACAAAGGGATTCTGACCATCATCTCAAATGTCTCTTGCTCCTAAGCTGGGGTGTGTGAATGAGGAGAAGGAAACTTCTCAGGGTCCTGGTCTGTCATCCAGGGAGCCCATCACCAGGAAGAATGTGCCAGGAGCTGATGGGTGGTGGCTGTGTTGGGGCATCACATTTAGGGGACGCCCTCAGAGGTGTGAAGAGTACAGTCTAGTATTTCTCTAAACAGTCTTCTAGCAGGTGCAAGTGTCTTGTTCTGAAACAATCAGCACGTTGTGACAATTTTCTGACAGGTATTTTCACAGATGTGAAGTGTCTTGAAGACGGGCCCCTTTTTCTAACTTGCCCCAAAGTGCCACCTGAGCTAGCTGCGGCCACGTGGGATGTCCCACCTCCCCTTAACTCTCCCTCCACAGTGTCTGGTTTGCAGAAGGGACTAGCTGTGCAAATGGGTGGCACACTTGTCCTGGAATCGACTCCTGGGAAGCTGGCCCCTGGTTGGAGTTCACACACCTGCCTTTGAGAAGTCTGTCCAGCACGAGGGCTCTCTGAAGAGCTCACGGAGTCACCTGGCTGCTTTCCTGGCCGCCTTTAACAGAAGGGCACTGGAACACAGCCCCATGAAAATCAGAGCATCAGAAATTGAGTGGACAGTAGGGTTCCCATCTACTTTTCTCTCCCCGGACATGGTTTCCCTAATATTAACATCTTCCGTTAGCATGCTGCATTTGTAATAATTGGAGATTTTAATAATACAGTAATAATTCAAATAGAGTGAAATGTAAATAGCATTTAAATTGAATAAAATAGATTAATATTTAAATGACAAAAAGAAATGATTATAATGAAATAATATTATAATAATACATTATTCTTTTTTTTTTTAAGATTTTATTTATTTATTTGACAGAGAGAGAGACACAGCGAGAGAAGGAACACAAGCAGGGGGAGTGGGAGTGAGAGAAGCAGGCTTCCTGCGGAGCAGGTAGCCCAATGCGGGGCTCGATCCCAGGACCCTGGGATCATGACCTGAGCCGAAGGCAGATGCTTAACCACTGAGCCACCCAGGTGCCCCAATAATATATTATTCTTAACTGAAGTCCATGGTTTACATTAGTGGTCACTCTTGGTGTTGTACCCTGTATGGGTTTGACAAATGCATAATGATGTATCCATCATTCTAGTACCATGCAGAGTAGTTTCCCTGTCCTAAAAATCCTTTGTGCTCCACCTGTTCATCCCTTCCCCTGACCCCCTTGGCAACCTCTGATCTTTTTACTGTCTTCATAGTTCTGCCGCATCCAGAATGTCATGTAGTTGGAATCATATAGCATGTGGCCTTTTCGGATTGGCTCCTTTCACTGAGCGATATGCCTTCAGGTTTCTTCCTGGTCTGTTTGCGGCTTCATAGCTCATTTCTTTTTAGCTCGGAATAATACCACACTGTCTGGATGGGCCACGGTTTCTTTATCCGCTCGCCTATTGGAAGACATCTTGGTTGCGTCTAAGTTTTGGCAATTGTAAGTAAAGCTGCTATGGACATTCGTGTGCAGGCTTTCGTGTGGACATAAATAAATGTTCAACTCATTTCAATCAGGTGAGTGCACATGTTGGATCGTTGGGTTAAAAGTGAGTTTAATTCTGTAAGAAACTGTCACGCTGCCTCCCAAAGTGATCACGTTGCCTTCCCCCCAGCGATGGACGAGGGCTCCTTCTGCTCCACATCCTTGCCAGCATTTGGAGTCGTCAGTGTTCCGGACTTGACTACTCTAATAGGGGTGTAGTGGCATCTCGTGGTGGTTTTAATTGGCGATTCCCTGATGACATATGATACGGAGCATTTTTTCATATGCCTGTTACCAGGTGTTTTTTCCTTCATGGGCCTAATGCAGACATTTCTTCCTCCAAGCAGAAAGAACTGGCTTATTGTTATGAGGGAAATACGTTTCTAGACTGGCTGGGCTAAACATTCCCTTAACACATCTTTCGAAAGTGATGGAGAAGGATACTAGTACCAAGTATCATTTCCTTTTTTAGATGCTTTCAAATTAGACAATCAGTGCTAAAATAGGGAATAATTGGGGCCCTCCTTAGGGGGTCCTGGTTGGGGATGGAGCTTTCTCAGCCACATGGATCCTTGGGGAACAGATTTTGCTGCTTTGCAATGGAAGGAAAGTAACCAATCCAGACTATTGAATACTTGGCAAAGAGTAAGATACTAATAGATTTGAGATGTTTCTACATTCCTGCCTCCCACATACGTAATTTAGGCCAGGCCAGCTGGATTTTAAGAGAGAAAGAAAAGCATTATCTCTCTGACAGAACCAGCTTGCTTTTAATTCTATCAAACAGAAGAAGTTTAGTGTCTGAGCTTGCTCCCGCATATTCTCCATAGGCCGCTACTTCCTAGGACAGCAACACTGAAGACCACCCTATCAGCTACAGTGAGGGACGCACAGAGGGGTGGCCCTGTCCCCACCGTCATGGGGGACGGTAATAACATGCAGACATCAGCAGGGATGGCGAACGTCTACAGATAAGAACGTGACAGCCGGAAGTATTGGTGTCCAGCTTGACTATGACACTTGGCTGGTGCAATCTCTAGTTGGACATTGGTCGTTGACACTGTGTGCTCTCAGGTGCACCCCCCGACGTGGGACAGCCTGACAGCTGAGTGGCTGTTGGTCCACCATCCTTAATGGGATCCCACAACAGTCCGTGTGCAGGCAGCAATGGTCCTAGAGACTTCGATTATTTTCCTCCTCAAGCACTGGGAATTAATGAACCCTTAGCTTTCTGAAATTTCTCTTTAACTCATTATGCCCAGGAATCCAGGCCCGACTCTTCCTAGTGCACTTGGACTTGTGCAGCTTGAACCATGAGCTTCTTGCTCCTCAGCCCCATCCTGGCCGAGCTCTGATGAGCATCGCTCTGAGAAGCAAGATGGGGAAGTGACACGTCTTTTCACGTCGTCTGGGGTTCATGTCTGACCCAAGGACCCTTCACTGATGGTGCTTTTCAATCAGCTCTGAGCATCACACAGAGTTTTCCCAAATATTCTCTTCAGAGCATAGAGTTTCAACAATCTCAGCCATTCTTTCTTCACCAGCTCTTTTGTAGATACTGAAGAAGCCATTCTTCCAGTGTGATCCATAAAGCAACCTGGTTTCCAGCATCCTCCTAAACGAAATGTCAAGTTAGAGAGGTACTCTGGCAAAGGGTTGACCAACGGCAGGACTCTTCTCCTACTGGGAGGCCTGCATCAGGCTTTGGAGGATGTGGGTTCCACCTTCCCCTTCTGCCACTCGGGGCAGAAACAATGCTCATCACAGGACTAGTGCATGGATGGTGTGGACGTCTGGTCTCCCTGAGACCCTTCCTCAAGCATCTATGCTCCAGGCCAGGTGGGCAGTCTCGTCTCCTCCCTCGTGGGAGAAGGAGGCCCACCATCCTTCCAGAATGCAGGTGAAAGGTGTCTAAGCCTTCATGCTCTGCCCCACAGACGGATACCTGTCTTTTTGCCCGCAGATGTCTAGACACACCCCTGCGGAGGGATTTTGTACTGCTCCATTAGGTATCTGTTCATTTTATAGAAAAACTGACTGCTTTAGCAGAACCAGGCATTGAAGAAATAATATAATATTTTGTTTATATATTTGACTGTGTTGAGGCTTTTATAAATGAAAGGTGAACACTGAAATAGTATCCTTGAATTCCTTTAGTCAGCAGGGATAAAAATATGACTTTCCAGCCCCATTTTCTTCAAGGAAAAGGGGAGAATGTCATTAAAAAAAAAAAAAAAGCCCCAGGAAAGCGGTCTACTTCCAGCAATGTCTCTGCTGGAGCAGTTGACTGACGGTGTTCATTAGATCCTAGCACCCCGCGGTGAGGCCCCGGGAGTCCAGGGAAGCGGTTCTGCTGACTTAGCATTCTGTTTTATCTTCTTCTGACACACTGGGTGTTGAAATGACCCAAAACAAAGGGGCGCCTGGGTGGCTCAATCGGTTAAGCATCTGCCTTTTCAGCTCAGGTCATGATTCCGGGGTCCTGGGATCGAGCCCCACGTTGGGCTCCCTGCTCAGCCGGAAGCCTGCTTCTCCCTCTCCTGCTTCCCCTGCTTGTGTTCTCTCTCTCGCTGTGTCTCTCTCTGTCAAATAAATAAATTAAATCTTAAAAAAAAAAAAAGAGATGACCCAGGACAGCTAGAGCAGGGTGACCAGGGCATTCTACCCTCGGTGGGGTTAGGACAGAGAGACAGACCAAAGGGCATCTTCTGATAGGAAAGGTCTGGTTCCTTGCCAGGTAAAACTGACATCCCGACACACGTATTTGTCTTAGCCATTTTGAGTTTCCCGTCCCCGGTCAATTGTGGTTTCTGAAAAAAGCGAACCGTCATATGCTTTACAATCGCATTAGGTGTCTGTTGCTGCCTCGTGGTGGGACCACAAACGCAGAGGTGGAAAAACCATGCACGTTTGTGACCTCAGGGCTTCTGGGGCCCAGGAGTCTGGGCACAGCTGAGCAGGGGCCCCTGCACGGGTCTCT